ATTCCTCCCATCCTGATGGACTAACACATTGTTTTTTCTTTATCTGTCTTTCACAGGAGATTCTGAATCAGGCAAAGAAAGACACCACGGGTGTAAAGCTGGAAGTCAACCAGAGGTAACTAATTACTCTGAATCCGATTGATTTAAAAAAATATATATTTTTTTCTCTTTCCCTGTGTAGTCAGGCCAACTTTTTCTGTCTGTTTCAGCATCCTGGGATCCTGCTCGGACTTGATGAAGGTAAGAAGTCTGCTGGTTGGATCTCTTTAACTCCTCTGGGTGTTAATCCTGTTGCTTCCTCCGTCCCCTCAGGCCGTCCACATCCTGGTGACCGCCTCCACCGACCTACAGAAGGACATCGTGGAGGGAGGCAGGGTGAGTTTGTGTAATCGCTGTTTCCAAATTCAAGCCACAGAAGAAATTCTTGTCTCTCTTTAAATGTCTTGAAAACACACTTTGAATTGGAGAGAAGCGTCTTCATAATCAGAGGACGAAGCCAAATTATTAATATTATGAGGAAATTAAGATGCAATTTATGACTTTATAAACTATTTTCTATGTTAATAATGTGCTTTTATATTTGTGTTTTAATTCAAACACAGTAACACATCTGCCCCTCAGTCCATTTCTTACTAATTACAGACAAAAGTGGGACAGATTTCAAGTCATTTGCATACTGTATGTGACTGTTCAGGTTCTTTCACTTTGTTTCTGCTGGGTTTTAGTCTCAGAAAGACGTGAAGCTGGATCCAATTTGCGTGTTGAAAGGTTACGAAAGTCCTGATTTGGTGAACCCGACAGGCTTCTGTGGAAACTCATGGGGCCTTTCCTTCCTGCAGGGAGCTGCGTCGGTTCGAGAGTTTTACGCCAAAAACTCTCGCTGGACAGAAGGACTCATCTCTGCCTCCAAAGCCGTGGGCTGGGGAGCCACGCAGCTGCTGTGAGTCTGAGACGGCCACAGCAGACTCCCACAAAAGACCTCAGCGTTTTACGAGGGAACTCTCTTTTGTTTC